TTATTAGTTTTATTTTCTATGTCTTTATCTGTGTCATAACTGATGTCACAACCAAGGTAATTAAAATTACCTTGTGATGCCTGTCAGCGCCATTGGTGGTTCAGCCGATTTTCGGATAACTAAAGACAGATAATTTCTGGTAAAGAACAGTCCAAACCAAAAGATTTATCGCTGAGTTCACTTGAACGAAAGGAAGAAGCCTCGATTACATCATTTACGTATCCAACTGCTTAAGTTGTTCATACGAACTGGTTTTAATAAGATTTTTTATGTAATTTTTCATGCTCTCCATGAAAAGTTAAATGCCACGTTTGCCAGAAACATATAGAACCCATTGATCATTTCGTCTCAGATCTTCCGATTCTAAAGACCAAAGACTTGAAAAGACACGATAGGGTGTGTAGTTACCTCCAGTGGCAGATCTGTACCGCCCTCGAAGTTCGAAACACGTGCGCCGAGAGGAAGAAACACTCATCAAATCCAAGTTGCATCTTGGACTGTGTGCAATATTGTACGACTAACAAATTCAAATTGTCGCGCTGACAGACTCGAGCGAAGAACTCTTTCGCCTCTGCAGAGGCGAACGAGAAAACTCGTTCAAGTGTGTGGGGGTCGATAAGTGTTCTTTGTTTCGATTTTCCACAGTTTTCGTCGCACATTTCTGGAAAAACATTTCTCGGCGTAGTGTGTTGCGGGCTTAATAGCCCTTCCTTTTCTCACGACAGATTGCTGCACGCCGACTCATCGGCTTTAATTCTCGTTACTTTTTATCCAACCATTTAATTTCCCCGATGGACTCACCCTCAGTCTTTTCCTGTATTTATTTTGTCGCAGTCGAACCTCCCCCTCCCCTCGAGTTCGCAAGTACGTCGGCAGACCGCCTCCCTTCTGAGACGCCTCAAACCATAGAGGTAGTAAGAAGCCTCAAACCTCTCACCCTTCTCGGCCCTCTCCGCCCTTTCTGCTTACCAATGCATGCACTCGTTTTCAGACAATGAAGATGTGTGTTCCATCTCAATTCTTCATGCTGTTTTTTCTCGGGAAAGAAGAAATGGTGCGGTTATGAAGAATGTTACAACAAATGAAATAATTGTAATAATAACAATTATAAACAATATCTAAAAAGAATGGACAAGGTGAATATCAATAAAAATCAGTCATTTATGAGGTTTAAAAGAAGAGGAAAAAAGCCAGAATCGGAAGCAGTTGTAGTAGTTGCCAAGATCAGGCGTTGAGAACACGGCATTGTGATAAAGCGTATCTCAAAATTTCCCAAGATGATAAATGCCGCATTTTCTAGGAGAAAGTAGACACGATTAACCACGTCGTCTCAGCTTGTCCAATTCTAGCAAACTTACTTTTATCTCTTTTTTCAATTCCTATATTTCCGCTCCGTAGGTACACATGCTCTATACCACAAACTTATAGGTACGAACCTTCTTTCGTTTAGTAATTTTACTAAAAAGTTAACATTTCCAAATATTCACATATCTTGGATATTAAAAAGTAAATAACTTTCCTTCGACTAGAGTGAGCGGTAAGGCAATAGTTTTACCACTTTCTTACAAGTAATATATTTTTACAATAACAAAAAACTTGTTTAATTAGTGAAGACCAGCTGCAAGATTACAGTAGCATTCAGAATTTTTTTGTCTTCAAAGATTTGAGAAATCGAAATGGATGTATACAATCGCCATGACTTGCATTCTGCTTATCTATTGAATGACAACTACATCGTAATATCCAACAAAATACGATATCGATTTACGCACGTACACGTTCAAGATACGGCAAGTTTAACCGCGAGCTCATATGCTGAAGAGAAGCACGAGCAGGATGAGTTTTCACCCCTGGGTCGTGGCCACGTGCGTTCATGTTTACTAGCAGAAGTGGCTGGCATCTCCAGCGTGTTCGTGGCACCTTACACGACCACATACGACGATCGGGTGGCCTCGGCATACAACAAACTCGATATTCGTTCATCAAAGTATCCGAGTCCGCACAGGTTACGAACACGGTAAGGTCAGGGTGCGTTCATGATTGTGGCAAAAACGTGCAATCAATAGAGATGTTTTTATTAATTAATAATTGTTGCGGGACAAGTTTCAGATTTTCCCACTGCTCAGTCTGTCATCACAGTCAAAATACCATTACAATACCTGCTGGATATGTTTTATTATATTTCCAGCATTTCAGTCGAAGGCGAATTTCAAAGGATGTTGGGGGATCCCCTGTGCAAGTTACGGATAAGCGTGTTTTAGGGAGCTCTGAGACTTGACCCGTGCTCTGAGATTTAAATAGCTTTCGAAGGCCTTGAACGATAGAAAAGAAGTTCCAACCCAAACCGTCTTACTACAAAATGTAACTACTGAGGTTGCCTAGTCTGAAAAAGCTATTTTCGTAATTAAAGATCAAAATTATAGCACATTTTTAAGAACTCCTTTGATTCCCTAAGCATATCGAATTCGTTTTCTAAAAACCGATGGATGCGAAGAGAGGGTTTTTCTACCGGTGTGATGTTTGTACAAAATCGGTTGAGTCGAATGTGTGATAACTGTTTAGAGATGAACGCGAGAGTTGCATCTCGTCATTGACATGATATCGAGGTCGTGGTCCAGTGTGATACGTTTTAAGCTAGTATAATGTTACGTTGCCACCACCTGCTCCTTACATTTTGTCCGTCTCTCTTCGTTCTACTATTTTATTTTCTAGGGGAGAGGACAGAAGTAAAAAAAGACATTCAATGCTACATTTTAGACGACACAAGCTGTATAGCAACGGCGGCGGCACTGTGCGCTGCAACGTTTTATCACTCCTGCCCAAATTTGAAGTAAAATGAATCAACGCCCTTGTAAGATTGTGGATGGGTCTATACCTACTGTAATATATTTTTTATTGCGCGAATGATCTGGAGATAAAATATTGCTGTCATTAAGTTACACAATATATGACGCTCAGGATAGGTTTAATGTGAAATGCTATTACTTTCCTCTAGCAACATGAGAGAAATTTTAATTTCCAATACATGTCATTTACTTGCTAATAAGTGCTCTTGATAACCCAATGAACGTTTCGACACATTTCATAATTATTTTTTTATTGTCAGAAAATAGCAAAAACTATGTGTAAAGAGAAAAAAACTATATGTGACGTACAGGGAAAGTTCAATATCTAATGGAATAAATGCGCTCGTGCATGTGTGAATTACACGTAGTATTAAATTTAAACAACCTAATATAACTAATCATAGTTTTTGTTGAACTATCATTACAGCTTTTAGAGATTTTTAAATGCTTCTAGTAAAAAAACTTTATATTTTTTTCTATTGTGTAGTGCACATTTAGTAAATTATTATAAGTATTAACATTAGCATTCCCGTTCCGTATTTATATAACGGGTATCTATTGCTCGAATTCGACTTACAATTAGCAGAGGGGCACGCAATTTATGTAGTAATATTAGTTGCACTATTATTTGAAAATAAAATGTGACAGTCGTTAAAACATTCAATAGATTAACAATGTAGTAAATATGTGGTAAAATTCAAGAGTTACTTCCCGGTCTTCGTAAGTGGCGTTTGAGATCAAAGACTACGCGTTGTTCTTCAGTGAGTGCGACGATGACGACGTCCAAAGTCGATAAAGCACGGAAATGCTCGCAACAGCGCGGCGGATGCGGGAACTGGGGGAAGGTGCATCAGGCGAGGTAGAGGGGCGGTGCAAGTTATCGATGTTGAAGCACAATTGACACAGTTCCAGCTCATGTCGTTGAACGTGGTGTCTCTTGATATCGTATGACCAAATTGCTTAAAATCGTAGGTCCTGCCAGTGATTTATGAGCAAAAAAGTAAGAAAACGACAATGGCACCGCCTAAAGTTGTATTGTTGGCTTGCGGTGCATTTAACCCGCCCACAATCATGCACCTAAGAATGTTCGGTAAGAATTCAACAACAGCAAATTTAATTCAATGAGAGTTACATTTTATAAAATGTTAATTTTTTTTTCAGAAATAGCTAGAGATCACATGCAAAGAATGGGTGTAGGCAATGTCGTAGGAGGAGTAATGTCACCAGTTCATGATGATTATGGGAAAAAAGAATTGATTTCATCGACACATCGTTGTGCAATGTTAAAACTTGCCTTGCGAAATTCTGATTGGATTAATGTGTCAACATGGGAATGTCAACAAGAAGGACATACGCGGACACGCGTTGTGTTAGGTTATCATCAGGTAGGATTATTATGAACAAATAAAAATCATGGTATAATCAAGACTTCAATGAAACCAAATTATAGGTGCATCCTCACTATTAATTTCTAGTGTTTTCCAAGTCTTTTTTTTGCTTTGTGCTATTTTTCTTCACAAACATTGCATGTATGTGGAACAAGTTTTTCATTCTAGAAGAGATTTAGGATTTCTAGAGAATGTAGGGAAATGAAAAAACAGAAATTGTGTCCTACGCAGTTTAAGTGTAATTTTAATTTTTTCATATTTCTTATGTGGGTTGAAATGATAATGCATAAAAACTGCCAGTTCAAGCAAATGTTTTGTCAGAGATTAAAAGTAAGCCCAATAAAAAGTGAAATTTATAATTTTCAGAACCAGTTGAATGCTGTGATCAATGACAATAACGATTCACCAAATAAAAGACAGAGGCTGGATGATTTACAGTGGGTGCCAGATGATGTCAAGTACAATACCAATGGTTCAGTGCAGGTGAAATTTCTCTGTGGAGCTGATCTTCTTGAATCCTTTGGAATACCTGGTTTATGGGCTGAAGAAGATGTAAATTTCTCTTTTGTTTTTTGTAGACATGAGTTAAGTATATACAAAACTAAGTAATTGTTATATTATTTATTTTCAGATTGAAACTATTGTGGGGCAACATGGTTTGGTTGTGATAACAAGAGAGGGAACGAATCCTTACAAGTTCATTTACGAGTCAGATATATTGACAAAACATCAGGTAATTATTTTGCTGATTTGCTCTGTTTATTATTGTTATCAATGATTTCTTCTTCATGTAATTTCAAAATTATATAGATTTGAGTTATCAATGAAATGGGTTGCAGCAAACCATGTCCATTTTAAGGCTGTTTTACTTTTCAAAAGTAAATCCCCTTGATTTTAATTTGTGTTCTTGGAAAAATCAAATTTCCAATGTAATAATTAACTTAATCTTGAATATAATAACAATAAAATCAATACATAATTTTATCTTAATTCATAGAAGTTATAGAATTCATGGAGAAAATTGATATTTGTTGAATTTACTGACGTACTGAGTTTTTATTGTTAGAGGCTAAAACTCATATGACTGAATTGAACTAAGACATAAATGTAAAGAAATTTTTGGCAAAAGTATACCTTATTGTTTTTTAAATAAAAATATGTTTTACAGTGTAATTGCCTAGTATCAAGTAAATATTTAGGGAATAAAGAAATAATTTTGATACTTATTGAGTCATTATTTTGCTTTGACACTACTCGATACGGAGTTGTACTTTCGCATAATAGTTCTGCCTACAAATTGCTAGGGTACACCAACTCTTACTTTACAAGTAGACTTCGAAATAGTTTGGTAAAATTTTTTTTTCTGTCAATTCTTTTCTAATTGAGATTTCATATGTGCATATTTTGTTGAAGCTTATATTCTTATGTAGAAAATTTACTATTTTGACCCAAATTTTAATTCCATACTAATTTTTGAAATTTGCTTTTTTATTGTTCTGATCTTTTTAAACATTTTGTTTTCTGTTTAACAGCAGCTTGCATAATGAATATAAGAGATTGTACCAAAACAAGGGAAAGAAGGAAAAATTGATCCTGTTGCTTAGCTGGTGGTTGTGCAAAGATAGTTCCATTCCATTGAAATGATTATAAATTATGTTTTATATAAAGAGAATATAACACTTAATAATAAGCTAAGAAAATATTTCATAAATTATTTAACCAAGCCACACAGCTGAGTTTGAGTGTGGTATTGTTCCAACCGTCTGGTTCCCCCCTCCCCCATTTCTCTTAACCTGTTGTACAACATGTAATCAAATTTAAGAGGAAAATGTGAAGTAATTGTACATAATTGTGGCTTTGTTTTAGAACAATATTACCATTGTAACAGAATGGATAACAAATGAAGTAAGCTCAACAAAGATACGAAGGGCATTGCGACGTTCAGAAAGTGTTAAATATCTGATTCCTGATGCAGTATATGACTATATTGTAAAGGAAGGTTTATACGGCACCAAAGAAAAGTGAGTATTTCACCTATAATCAAGTTCCATTCCAAAAGACATATGAGAAGATACAGTGAGGCCTCACAATAGAAACAAATATCCGATAACATGTCATGAATGGTAAAACATTATATTTGTTTCTTTATCTCATTATCTTTCGTTTGTGCTGTATTTTTTTATGAAGTGAAATGATATTTTTGATGCATTTAAATATCTCATCTTCAATTCAATCCACAATAATGGGAACAATCCACACTAATGTGACCTTTACAGTAGGAAATATTTGAGATAAATTCAAAATTAATTCTAGTCTAGGCAGGAAGCTGCTTTTTTATAAAGATAATGTTATCAGGCATCACTGTATTTAATTTGAACTTTTTCCAAACTAATATTTCTTGATTTTCGCCATATGTAATTTCAGTAGAATGTTTTTTTGTACTGTTGCCTTAATGATAAAATTATGGATAATTAATAAACCATAAATATAAGCCAAAAAGGCATACATTTGTACTTGGATTAAAATGTAGGAAGAATTTGCTTTTGATCATCTTGGTTGTGGTTATACAATAGGGAGCTTCAATATTAAAAGTTAATTTGGAACAAAGCTCTCGATTGGATAACTGTCTCCCAGTTGATCGCTGTCAATGCACCCTACATTTTAGTTGGAGCATAAGATGAAACAGATAAATAAATTACTATGGAGGCCACTGTAGGGAATTTTGTTACTGTAGAAAATGAGAGAAAAATCAGATAATTTGGAAAAGAATCATTAGAAATGAAGGGTTTTATAATTATATTATTTGTTAAAAAAATTAGTACAGTGTTATTTTTTATCAATTATTATTTGGTGAAAAAATATTATTCTTGGATTCACTTTGTCACTTCAAAATCAGAGAGATTACCAAATAGTATCAGAGTAGCCTTAATATTTTCTTTAAGTATTGTAAAATTACAAATTTTATCAGGAAAAATGAAAACAAATGCATTGAAGAACCGGGAAATTTGTTCTGGGAAATGAGTGGCCACCCTGAATACAAAACTTGTAAATAATGTTAAAATTCTGCAAATTTATGTTTGAATTTTTTTTTATTTACTTGTGATATTTTCTTTCTTTAAACATAAAAATTAAAACATTGCAAATTTTGAAACAATTGTATGAAGGTAAAGAATTTGGCTAACATCTGTAAGGCAGTAAAGATTGCCACCATTTCTTGAGAAAATTCATTAATAATTTTGAAAAATTGTTCAAAATGATCATGAAGTGTTCATTTTGAATTCTCATTGAGGTAACTGTACATATTTATTGTTGATCCAACTAAAGCACTCCTCTAAGATACTAATAAAATTAGGTGGTTGACAGTTGGATGTAGGATGGCATTGCTGCTTTCTACAGGCTCGTGTATGTTGCAATGTAGCCACAACTCTATGATATCTTATTAAAATTGACAACAAAACTTGCTTCATATGCTACTCACAATTCCCACTTTTAGCACTTGTAACCTCACTCTTGACACTTGTAACCACATTAATGATTAACTACATTGTATACATGCAATTTATTGTCCTACAATTTGAGGTGACAACACTGTAAATGCCAAAGCTTCTGATTCGCTGATGCTTATTAATATAAGATATGCTTCTGAAATGCCACTGAACTTAATGAACTGTCAATCATGTTCTAATTTTATGAATAGAATAGTTTGATAAATGCCTTACTATTCTCACAAGTTTTTATTAACATAAGATTTGATTAATAAATGTAATATTTCATATTGTATTTCTTTTAAGATTTTTGTTTTTAATTGTATTTTTGTGTAGGCATTTATGATACCGTAAATAAATTTAATGAAAATATTCCTGATTTTTTTCCCTCATGCTTACATTGGTATTCATCTGTCAACAGTAAGTACTTGTTGTACCCTGAATACAATCAGTCTCAGTCATTGTTTCTTACTCCTTCTCCAAGTGATGTAAACATGGAATCTCCCAGTCCCACCACGCATGCAAACGGCTTAGAGTATGGGGATGGATGCAACTACTCAGAATCCTACATAGCAAAACCAAAAAATGGTCCTGTTACTTATATTAGAGTGGAAAGGGTGGATGAAAGTTCGTTGTTAGAGCAAGATACCTGCTTGTCTGAAAAAATGACTAATGAGGAAAATTCTAAAAGATCCACAGTTACTTATCCTGGTCAAGCTGTTCAGATAATTGCAACTGCAGCTGGCAATAGTAAAATTCACAAACAGGTGAGCAGTGAAAGAGACGCCGGTACCAGACAAGTTGTTGAAGAAGTTGCAAATGTTCAAATTCAGATTACAAAAGATGGAATTAAAGTGATAAGTGATAAAGAAACAACAGTATAATCTCAAAATAAATTTTTGAAATGTATGTGCCAAATTGATTTTTTAGTAAATGGACCATTGTTGTGTGCCAAAGATTGAAATCTGCTGGATCTAACCCTTGTTATATAACAGCAGTTATATTTGATCACTGATTCAGTTATATTGCCTTCTTGAAAACTACGTCAGAAGTAAATGAGGACCATAAATATAGATGAAAATATTTGTGTTGATATTTACCTAAGTCAATGATAAAGAAAAGTGAACAAACTAGCAATTTTAATGTGCGTGAGTAATACTGTAAAATGGTTATTCTAAATATATCATAGATCTGCAAATGGACATGTAGCTCATTACAAGTAACATATGCAAGTACTAGATATTTTGTGAAGTAGTGAGAGTTCTAGTTTGTTTTTAAAAAAGTTTAATCATTTTTATAACAATGATTATAATAAAAACTACAGTATGTATAGCTATGTATTACATGGTAGTATTGTTAATATTACCTTTGTTGCTGTAAAGTAAACTTCCTTGAAACTATCTCTTGAAGTGCCATTTGCTTGAGTGCTGTTAGTTTATTCTTGCAGTTATAGAATGAGCTCAAGTTCATGAGACATTACTTTTGCATGATCATATACTTTTGCATGAATTTTTTTGGGGGAAAACTGCCTTTGCAGATCTCATGTTAACTATTGTGTGTGAAATTATTTGTTAATAACTTTTCTAATGTTTTTTATAGAAATGCATTAATTTGTTTTGAACTTTTTATAAGGTTTTATTTGTATTAAAAACTTTTTATGAGGTTTTATTTACATAAAGGTGCTATTAGAGTTTCTACTTAATTTAGTGTGAAGAAATTTGAAGAAAACTTTGACTAAGTAATTGAGAGGAAACTTTTATTAATTGTTTTCTGTATGCATTTGATATATCTTGTTACTTTGTGCAAAAGGGTACTAAAATAATATTTTAAATGATACACTAATGGGTCTGATCTTTTCTTCATTGTTCCTTCAACTAAGGCTGCATGATTGAGAGCAATAAAATCTAACTTGCAGTTCCTTTTGCTGCAGGTGAAGTATTATGATTGTTATTTAACTTCTTTATGCTCAAATACGCTCAATTGTGCTAAAAGTTTCACAAGATTGTTCTGTCTTACGCTTAGCAGGTTCATTTGTGTATGTTCTGCCATTTTATTCAACTATACTTCGAGTTATTTAGATGTAGTGAAAAGTTCATTGTGGGTGTGATCTTAAGAACATTCTAAAAGGTGCTGTAGTGTCTGATCTTCATGGAGAAGACTCTAGATACAGGAGCATTTATGCAGTGTTTATTATTAGAGTTGAAAATAGAGTATTTTATCCACACAACTTTTGAGATTTTGTGTGAATTCTAATAGAGCAATAACTATTTCATAAACATTTTTTAATATATTCGAATGTCAATTCTCAATTACATGTTATGTAGTTGTAGGTAAATCTTCTCTAGATACTGTTCTCTTTGATAGTTGTCTCTAACAAAATGTGCAGTGGGTAACCTGAATAGAAGCAAATGTTCCTTCTGTGCATTATGAAAACATATCATGTTTGCTTTATGAACATTTATAGTGTTTGATATGAGTTAAGGTGTTGACAACATTGTTTGTTTTTTCATCATTGAATTGTAAATGTTTCAAATGATTATTTCTGTACCTTAATTTGCCCTTTTTCTCCTGAAGTATGTACTGCAGATGTTTGATTAAAATAACCTATGAAACAGCTGGATGCACTTCTTTTGGGATGGAAACTCTACGTCACTTTCCTTGTTAAACTTCTTCTCTTCAGTTTTCAATTTTATCATTCAAAAGATCCTGTGGTGATTTTTCTGGCACAAGAGACTAGGTGATTGCATTGAGTCACCATGAATTATTCTGATGAATTTGTCACCAAAATTATCTATCTGCTATTTCAAATTTTTGTTGCAGACCTTTTTTTGTCAACTGAATAAACATTGAAGTGGGTAGAATATTTGAGTGTCCCAGTATTGCATCCAGCAAACGTGTTATATACAGTGAACTTTTGATTATCTTTGACATTATAATGTAAGTAATTTTGTAAATTAAACACCAAGAGATGGGAAATATATGGAAAAAAGTTTAATCTCCATCTTAGGTACTATGAAGTTAGTATCAATTAGAAATTATTAAAGTGAGAATACTGAGTGCCAGTAATGTCATAATTAATATGTCAAGAAATGGCAACTTGCTGCTGTTTCTTGACATTTTAAATAAGACAGAAAAAAAACAACATTTCTTTAAAGTTTAAACGTCATAAATGGCTTCTTCTGCATTCCAATGAAAAAACTATTTCCTCAGAGGAAATTAATATTTAATAAAAAGTGAAAAATTTGGTAATAGATTTTTGGGACTAATCAATTGTTCATCAGTTTTACCCTTCAATTTCGTTATGACTTATATTTTTCCTTAACTGGCTGATGGGCTGAAGAAGTTGTTTGTGTGTTGCAAAGGAATTGTATTTTTCTAAGGCCAAGACTCATTGACTGCTTAATTATGTAGTACCTTACTTTAAAATGTCCTTTAGTTTACTAATGTTTGTATGCCAAAAACCAATAGAAAGTAATATTACTGGTAGTTTAGGAAGGATTAAGAGCCATTGATAATCAAAAGTTTGCAGTATTCTTGCTATATGCTCAGTAACGTGTGGTGCATGTCTGTGTCGTTGCAGGGTCTGAGCCGTCCTGCATGCCTTCTGTAAGAGACCTCGTACTTCTCATTGGGAAATGTAGCCGCCCCCCGAAGAATGCCATTGCTTCTTTGCCTGCTCTAGTCTGATATGCTCCCACATGAAAGTATACAACTTTTTTTCATTCTATCCCCTACCTGCATGCTTAAGGATAGTATGTCTGTTGTTATGTCAATTGAATAATAGTTTTTCTCATGACGAGTGTTTTCTTTCTGTTTCTTCTGTAAACTACAAATGCATTGTGTCACAAAGAAAGTAGAGAAGACATCAGATTTCTAGCTTAATAGCATTTTCTGTATGGTGGTGTTGTCAATACATTCTTATATTGTCAGTTGGTTTTGGTTGTGGATGTCTCCTTATAATGGTTTCCCGTAATTTTTGTTGTCAGTACAGTGGTAAAATTACTATACCAGAATTAAAAGATTTGGATATTTTTATCCCTCTTCTAAACAGTTATTATTCAAAACATTTTGTGTTAATTATACCGTAACAGACTTCCAGAAGGTTTATTGATTATACAATTTTTTATAATTCAGTGGGGTTTAATTTGTTCTTCTTTAATTATATACACCTTCTTTATTTTACAAGGTCATTCTTAATACAGAACATTCACATCATGTTTAACTTTCTTGTACTTGCATCTAATATCTTGCAAATGTATCTACAAATGAAAGCAGTATTGAATTCCTGTTTATGCTCTATGTAAAATGAGGACATATATTTTCTCCTCTTAGGGACTTTGTGTGTTTGAGAGTGGAATATTTACCTGTGAATGTACTTATGCTATTGTCAGCTTTTGTGTGAAAAGTAGACAAAAAACATTTATTTGATCTGCAATTCATTTTTTTCAACCAATGTTTAATTAAACATTTTTTTTAAAAATAATAAGTTGCCTATGAGTAGCCTGTGCTATTAAGTATATTCCATGTTATATATATTTTATGAAAAATTATTGGAAAAGAATAAATGTAACATGCTTATATCTGTTAATATCTGTGATTTTATTCAAATTACTTCAGTTATGTGATGCTTTGTTTGCATTCCAAAGCTGTGCTCATGTAGTGCTCAAATGGTTCATTAATTGTTAAAAATTTCTTTGAAACAAAGAAAAAATTAATGCATGTTGTTACTTACTCATTAGACGTATAATTTAATTCATAATTTTAATTTTTTTGTTTTAAAGGCATAACTATCCCTTTATCCTGAAATAATTTGTTAAGAACCTTTGATAGTAAGAAGAATGTAAGTCAGTAATCCACTTTGTACTTGTGTATTATGTTCTTTGAATTTTTTTAAATCGTTTGTTTTATTGCATTTGCATCAATAACAAATGAAAGGATATGTTAGCAACAAAAAAAACGTTTTAATGTGTCTTTTATTTATTATGGATATTTTTTCAATGAAAATGAAATTTCACTGACTTGCATTCTTCTAATTTAGTACAATGCTTTCTTTTGCAATTGTTTTCTTATTGTTTTTATATGGTGCTACATTTTGTCATCATGAGAGTAGAACTTCACAGTTGAGGAAATGAGCCAATTCTCTAATTAGAGAACTCTGATGACTCTTTATTTGACTGAAAAATGAGCTTTTTTGAAGCCAAAGTTTTCATATTTCCTGTGATTCACATTTTAAAGCCTTCATGAAATTTACAATATTGTGAAGTAGCTCTTCTGGGTTTGAAATTAATCTGTATTGTTTGAACGAAGTTCTTACTCCTTCCAGCTTCACTTGTCACTGTAATGTGTAGTGTGAGAATAAGAACATGAGCTTCAGAAATACAATATCATGGTCATATGAACTATTTGTGGATTTTTACTGTGCAAAAGTACTTTGTAATTGTCATTCCAGCATAAAGAATAACATGTATTATTATGCATGCAAGTATTGAAAAGTGTAGTTATGTTTCTCATAAGAACTGTATATTCTTTTCTTAATGAATACAGAAGGAAAATAGAGTAGAATACCTACATATTATTTACATATGCTGATTGAAATTTTATTAATGTATTTACACACGGTTAAACTTGTATTGTGTAAAAAAATCAAAAATTAATAAATTATACATGCGAAGTGAAACTGGTAAATATTCTAATCTGATAATAAGTGCATTGCAAACAGTATCATCAGAACAGTTTGTAATCAATAAACTCAATAAACTAATTTTTAGTTGGGTATTAATTTTTTAAGTTTGGTTGGGTATAAGTTTTTTTATGAACATCAATAATGCTATATTAATACTATCAAGCATGGCTAAGTGGAATTTCGAGGGACAGAAATAAATTATTATCTTGCATAGCAAGGGGTCTGTTTTCCAGAATCTCACTTATTCAAGTTAAAAAAGTGTTCATATCACTTGTAAATGCAGATCCAAATCATATTTGTTTCAGTTTCTGGGGGAGTGTTAAACAAAAATTCAATATACTCGTACTAGAAACTTTATTTACAAATAATGTGTTATGTATTACATTTTATTACTTTATGAAATTTGCAAGTAAATAATTAAAATAAGAGTCAACTTGTGTTTTTTTAATAATTTTCTCGCAGTACCTTGAACTTTTCTTTTTTCTTTAACTGACTACACATTTCATTTTTGCTTCAACTATGCGCATGTAACAGATTGGATGTTTTTAATGGATATTCTGCTTTCTAGTCTTCCACAGAAATTTTGATTATTACACGTTAAAAAGAATTGCAGAGACAAACATTTTGTTTGCTATCATTCAGAGAAATTTAAGAACGAGGAGTCCTCTGTTAACATATACTTAGAAAAATCTGGAAGGAAAAGCAGTCCCTTTGAAATGATTTTAAATTCTCAAACTGAGATTTTCTCATTATAAAATATTGAGACTTTATAACAAGTCTCATTAATGTAACTTCCCACTTATCCAGCTTTGACTGTATTATAGGCTTGCATTGTTTTTCATTCTTCAGAAAGCATTAAGTGCTCAGCAATATGTTTTTGCTTCAAAAATGAATTTTTTGTTTAGTAGATTCAAAATATTCAAAACGTGTCAAGATAATTATATCATTTATTAATCTCATTTCCATTTTTTGTGATTTGTTACAAAATTTATTAATTATATTTGTTTCATAAATTGCAAAAATATGTATTATATAAATGCTACACTTACTAATCTTTGTTTTGAAGTTAAAGTAAAGCATTTGGTTGAGTTCTAAATTATTTATTGCCTGACCCAAATTTTTACGAATTTCTGTATTTTATTAAAACTTTCTAAATCAAGTGAATTTATTGTCTTCAAGTTAATGTAAATAACACTAATCATTTATGTGTAATATTTTTTACAAATTAAGTTCCTTAGATGCCCAACTAGTTATTGGTTTTCTGAAGAGGGGAAGTATTACTATTATGCCCTCTTTAAGGTGAAATGTGTTAAATTTAAATATTTATATCATCCATGATTGTAAAAATGGAAAAGATTACTGGAATTGCAGTATGTAAAGTGAAGGTCGTGTGACTGTGAGTACCTAGTATTGCCAAAGCTATTTTTGTCATGAAAGAAGGGGAATATAATTGTGCACCTTACTAAGTAAAAGTTTAAGCTGAGAAAGTAGTGCAAAGAGAAAAGCAGCTGAGCATTCAGAGGCCCCATCCACTCAGATCCTCCAAATCCTTCGTTGAGTAGTATCTTCCGAAAGAGAAAATGAGAAAAAGTCACTGTTGAGAGAAATGTCTATGACATCTCGAGTCCATTCATTACCAGACAGCTATGAAGAACAATGAATGGTAACGTTTTCTTTTGTATTATTCTTGTAATGAAAGAAGACTTAAAGTGAGAATTAATAATACTTTGTAACAATACAATTATTTCTTAATAGAAACAGTAAAATTGACTTTCTTATGATGGTTTTTGGCAAATTATAGATTTGGGAGGAAATGGTTTTAGTAAAAATTGAAGGATTGAGAAAAATGGACCATAACTGAAGGGGTGCAGTGGCCCTGGAAAGAGAACTTCAAGGAGAGTCTTAAAAGTAAATGAAATCAGTGGTGTACCAAAGTTGCAGCTCTCTCTCGCTTCACTTGAATGTAAAATAGCATTTTGTAGACAGTGCTCGATTTATAAAAAAAATTTAGGTTCCGAAATACACCCAAAATTAATATTAATTTTTAATAGAAATAGTTATATATTTATTTTATAATGTAATAATTATAAATCATTCTTACTAACAATTAGTAACAGTGGTAGCTCTGACTCTAAATGAATGTAATAAAAAAAAAATAGAAAATACAAAATTAGACTTCGTAATGATATCCTATCATGTTTATGAATAATTTGATAACATTCATAATAATGGTACTGTTAAATGAAAAATATTTGATTGTGAGTTTATGAAAGTTGATCGAACTAAAAAGCGTTTGTCATCTGCTCTTTTCTTTTTTCCTCCTTATTTCGTTGCCGAGGTCACCGTTCTGTCCTATTCTGCCAGAAATCAAGCCCTGATTATATAATTATCTAAATATTTTGCATGAACACAAGTGATTGTACTGTACACTATTTTCTCCAAAATGGATATTTTCCAGAAGGTTTGGGTGATATCGTGGCCTTTCAAATTTAAAACTATTTTAATCTTTTGAAGCTTACTTTACATGAAACTTCGAGGTAATTTTTGAAATTTTCTCATAAATGGCAAAGTATAATTTGATAATAATAATAAGAATGCATAAAGATTATTTTTACTGAGGTAATTGTTTTTATTTTGTTGTATATTTTGTTATGTTTAGAATTCATAAATTACAAGTTGCTTTGTTATTCCATACAATAGTCCTCATACAAAATATAGAATTACAAATATTAATATTAATAATAAAGTTCATTTCAAAATTTTTATATCTCTATTTCATGCTCTTGCTTTAAAATACTGTTTTCATGTTATTTGCCGTTTATCTTTGTTTGTCTCTTGAACTGATCATTATTATTACATTTTCATGTCTACTGTTTTATTTCAGTTGGAACTCGTAATTCTATTTGTTTAATTTATAGCTTTTCATTGATTTGGACTGGGTTTTGTTGAAGTGCTTTGTTTGGATTCAACTTGTTGGACAGGTTCTTTCTTTCCAGCATCACATCTGTGGCTAGATACTGTAAGAGGAGTATTTTCTCTTGTTCTATGAATATCTTCATTTTGTTTACTATCTCCCCGATCGTTAACAACCATCTTTAAACTACATGTTCCTGGAGCAGTTGGACCTCCTGAACCTCCTGCACCAGGACACTTCCATTTAAAAATGCCTCCATCAGAACTCACAGAAACTATGTATCTATCATCAGGTGAAAACTTAGCTGCAGTGATGGCTCCAGCGTGCCCCACACCAACATGAGATAGGCAACCTTCGTTGTATTTCCAAAGCTGAAACAAATGATAAAATATTAATTTAATAATGATTGTTAATAATGCTTAAATAAACGTTTTACAAATATTTGTTTGGTTTGTGTTAAAAATTACTTTTAAATTTAATATTCAGATTTGATGAAAGAAAAAATAAATTGGCTGATAAATAAAACTCCAAAATAAGCATGATATTAGAGGCATAGCCACTCATTGCATTAGTGTTGCAATTAAATTACAATACATTTACTTTCAATTAGATAAAACACTTGTTACAACATTAACAAACTCTTTTAATTCACAATATTAAACAGGTACATCAGAGTAATTTTGTAGTTGGTGAGTGAATTATTGATTAAATTACACCATTATTATTGCATAAGGGTTAATCTCAATTATTAATTTTTCATGCATTTTATTTAAAATGAGGTTGAAAGAACACAAATATATTAAATTATAGTACTACAGTTGATTTGTATTTGCTGATTCATTAAAATAATTATTTAGAAGAATTATTAATTATAAATGAATGAAGTAACTTGTTTAATTTTAGTTTGTATGGAATCCCAATTTTTTTCCCTGTCATGTTGAATTTAATAAATAAACTACTGTACTTACGAAATATAAAACAATATATTACTTTAATACATATTACTTATCATACATTGTACATCTCCACAAGCCATTGTTATCAATATTTTTTATTCAGTCTTTTTATCCATAAAAACATATTGCAGAGGTAGAAGGTATACACATTTTTTGTGAAAACAGGAGCATTTTCAAGGAAAGCAGATAAACTGTTTTTCTCCTATAGAAATTTTTTTATTTGGCCAATTGACGTACGTTTTTTTGTCACGTATGTATTTGCATAGAAAATAGTACTTCTGATATTTAGATATATTTTCTGATATTTTACTACATTTCATAGTAATAGTTAGATTGTATGATATCCCTGGTGATCCCTCCTAAGATGATACTCAAAGCAGTTGGATGCCAGCCTGTGAATTATGAGGTAATTGTAGCATTATGGAAATATCCCAGCATTTACCTGTATGACTGAGGGAAACCACAAAAAGCCACAGGATGGCTGACCCAGCAATCAAACCCAGATCTCCAGACAGTAAAGTCAGAGTGTTACGTCCGGAGTCATTTCGCTCAGTGTTCTACATTTACATTAATATAAAAGTGCTTGCGAGGTAGCAATTTTTCTGTATCATATTTTTCACTTCTTATAAATTTCAAATTCTTATGAAAATTATCAATAGTTTTGTAAATAATGGATAATTTCACTATTTAGGAGAAACTTTAAATATGCTTTAGTAATAAAACACATTCATTAAACTCTTATTAATAAGGAAGTTCTGTAAACATTTTAATTTTATTGTTGTGGTTTCAATACATTTTATGGCCTCTAACTGTTGAGTGATGTGTGGGTCATATGAAGCAGAGACCTTAAAATTATACTTACTTTCACAAGCTGGTCACATCCCCCAGAAACAAATGCACATCCATTGTGGGAAACAGCCACAGTATTGAGGGCATCATAAACAGAACCTTCAATCTCTCTAATGAGTGAACCATCCAAGACTTGCCAAAATCCAATTTTTCTGTCAGTTCCTACAGTGAGAAACTGGACTCCAGTAGGAAAAAATGCAACGCTTGTGAACTGTGTGTCTCTGAATATAACCAAACTTCTCATCATCCGCCTAAAGAGAGATCCCAAAGCTTTATTCAAATTCATTGTAGTAAGAAAATTGAATAAGATGTGATGAAAATTGTTATGTACGATTGTGAATGTCTTTGGTTTGTTTAAAATGCTCTTGGATTCAAGATTGAAATTGAAAATGTATATGTATTATATGCATAATTTATGTGCATTTTATTAGAAAAATAGAAATAATAACGACCATTATCTGCGATTCAAGAATCAAATCGTAAAACTTTTTAAAATAATAATAATAAAAAAAAATGCATTGAGGAGAGAGATCGAATGCATTAAGGAGAGAGATATTTCAGAATTGTATTTTTCTAAACCAAAATTATGAATGACATCATTTCAAACATTTTCTTGGACATTTTTGAATTTGCATGAGAGTGTAAAAGTTGTAGAAATCTACATACACAAGATCCCAGATGATACAGGAACCATCACTGCTTGAACTTATAGCCTCTATACCATTTTTTGTTATGTCTATTGCAGTTACTGGGCCCTTATGTTCTTTCATAACTGCTAATAAACATTGTACACTTGGCTTGATGTCCCATATTCGCACCTAAGAATGAACATAAAATCTACTTCAGTTTTTCTGATCATTTTTGTTTCCCATCAAATATTAAGCAGTTAATTGCCCCACTATATTGTACTCTATACTTTTATAATAATTTGTTTAAATCAGTTAATGCTTCGGTTACTATGTACCTCTCCTTCATTGCCACCACTGACAATTTTTCTATCATCACATGTTATCCTAAGAGCGGAAACACCTTTATTGTGAGCGTTGTGCATTGCAAACATTAATTTTCCTGTTTGTGGGGTGAAAGCACGAATGACTCCATCATTCCAACCTAAGAAAGAGAAAAATTGTGTGAAGATTAAGAAATGGAGCAATACTGCATCTTCACTAAGAAGAAGAGGAAGACTGAACTACATTTGAAGGAGTTAAGGTGATGGCCAGAAGAAAGTGAAGATGACTGCAATGAAATGGGTGTAAGACTCTTTCTGGCAAAAAGGGCTATAGCAGATTATCAGTTCTTCTACTTCTGTCTCTAAATAATTCCTTCATTTGTCATTACCACTAATAATAGCTTTTCCATTGTGTGAAAATATCACACTTGAACATGTGAAATTTGGAACACTTATTCTTAACACTTCTTTGCTAGTATTTGTAGACCATACTCGAATATCATGTTTACTGCCAGTAGCAAATACTGATGGAAAGTCACTGAAACACACACAATTATTAATTGTAATTTTCATTTCTTATTATTGTGGGTGTTATTTACATTTCACATGGTGCATTGACATGGATTAAAACACAGTCACTTACTGTGGAAAGGCAACATCATAAACTGTATGGGAATGACATGTAAGAAATAAATTCAACTTGAAAACTTGTAGATCAATGCAAATATATTTCACAATTTTTTGTTCCTCGCAATCAGGCAATTGTTCATACGGTGCAACGAAGTTACTCCTGCTCAAGTTTTGCACATTTTATCTGGAACGTTAATCACATTAACATTAATCGTACATGCAAATATATTTCCTGTACCCCACAGAAAAAATTGAAAAATTTTAGTCCTAACTGTATCAAGTCGTGGCAAGGAAGGCTGACGCAAACGAGATGGACCAAGTTCACTAGGTCCTTCTCGCTCTCTTACCATTTCAACTGCACCATCTCCAGCACCTACTATAAAATTTGGTGTATTTGGCAGCAAAACTATAGCTGTAACTCCTGGAAACAGATTTTTATTTTCAGAATTCACAGATCAATTAGTAGTGCTACAATAACATATACTTCTCAAAAACTAGCATGGAATATTATTATACTTCACCTACTGACACTTCAGCTATCTCTCAGGAAAATTAAAATAATACAACTCAAAATCAGGCAAAAACTATTAATAGTTTGAAAAATTGAACATGGCATTAATTAAAAATCTCATTTTAAAGAATAGATTTAATTTACAAAAATATCTCTTTTGCAATTTTCACAAATTCATAGAATTTTATAAAGATCAAACCTGTTCTATTTTTGTAAGCATATAGACCTCTATTCAAGCAAAAAATTTAAAGAAAAACATTTGGAGCCATTATTGAGGAAATTTTGAAAATGTCGTTTATGTAAAGTCATCAGCCAAACCAATGAGAGAATATCAATGTTGGTGAAAATCTTGTTAACATTTAAGTGCTTGTGCTGTTCGTAGATAGTCATTTTGATAAATAAAACTCTTCCATTGTCAGGGACTTGCAAAACATGTACTACTTTAGATTTTTGAAACAAATTATGTTTCTTTCATCAATATCCTTGAAGGTGAGCAATTTTATATGCAATCTCTGTCCAGCATATGAAAGAAATTTTTGACAAATTCCCTGGATTTAATAGGCTTATGAACAATTCACGTTGATCTTCTGTAGATCATGTTCTTTTTTCAATATGGCATTTTATGTACTTAGGGCTTACCTAAGCTATAAAGTACTATTTTAGATTCATTTGGCTTCAGTTTCTTTTTAGGGATTTTGGCAAGACAAGTTAACATATTGGGAGGGGCCCTTGGATCTTCTTTGCAGTCAAAATTGAGGCTCACTTTGAGAATATCTCCTGTTGTGGTCCCACAAAGCAAGCATTCATCTTGCCAGTCAATCTTAAACAAATAGTTTTTTTTGAGATTTAATATTGTTTTGTTTATATTACCTAATCAACTATAACTGAAATAACATACAGCAAGACAAGTTATTATCCTTCTTAATTTGCCAATTTTAACATCCACCCCACAAACCACATTGTGAGTTGGAACAAATCTCCAAAGTCGTAATGTGTTATCTCCACCAGAAACAAAGCAGAGTTCTCTTTTGTTGCAATGACAAAGGATTAAAGCATCTCCACCTGTTCCAGGGCTGGCAGAATTTCCTGTAACGAAACAATTTAAATGAATGTAGAAACAAAATTCTAAAATACTATCATGTCTCTCATTCTGCTGTGATTAATGGTGATTTGATGTTTTTAAACATCACTTCCCACCACATACAACAATTTAACAATACATTTGATTAATTTACAAGGATAAATATGACAATAGAAATTAGAAGTAATACCATAAATATAATTGTGATATATGTATTAAAATACATAACAAATGAGAATAGCAAAATACAATTATTAGATTTATTGGATAATAGTAGAGCATAATGTTCTTTTTTCTCATTAAATATAAGAATAATTTTGTTCATTGAGCCATTTTTTTATTTATTATTCTTGGCACTGTAACTGCTTTATTCTTAAGCAAGGAAAAATAATTGTAATCCAAGTGCAATATTCTTAGTTCACTGCTAATAAGAATTATGTAGTATATTGGAAAATACCAATTTATTTATGTTTTTGACAACAATTTCCATGATGTCAACAATTTTCAAAGATATGTATCATTTGATGGCCAAATATGTGCCGAGGTATGGGAATATACATTGATGAAGATTGCTTTCATACATGATTATTCGCCGATGATCAGGTGATTTTGCTTAATGATGAGTTTGACATGGAGTATATGATGCGAAAGCTTGTGGAAACATACAAAAAAGTAGGATTAAAGATAAATTTCCTCAAAACAAAATATATGGTAGTGGGAGAGAATAAAAGAAATTGTATAGAAATAAATGGAGATCAGATAGAAGCATACAATGAATTTAATTATTTGGGTGAAATTATTAGCGAAGCAGGAGGTTCCAGAAAAGATATTGCTTCAAAAATTACACAAGGACAGCAAGCTATTAGAAAGTTAAACTTGCTGCTCTGGAGAAAAGAAATATCCAAGTCTATCAAGAAAAGACTTTTCGACTCTATCATACAAAGTATAACATTGTATGGTGCAGAAACATGGGAATTAAGAAAAAGAGAAAGAGAGAAATTAATGAGCCCACTAATGGATTTTTTGAGAAGAAGTATCTAAAATGAAACATATTAGAAACAAAGAAATTCTTAAGCGAATGAAGGTTCAAAAATCAATAATAGATGAAATGGTTAGGTCATATGAAAAGGCTTCATTGTGGCAGATGGCCCAGAAAGGTATGCGAGTGGTTTCCTTTAGACAGAGAGGTAGACCCAGAGAGGAATGGCAGAAACAGATTTTTAATGATATGCCGGGAAGAGGACTAGAAGAGAATGACTGGAACGGTAGAGTGGTATGGAGATTGGGATGTGAGAAACGGCCACTAGAGCTGTAAAACACTCGCAAGAAGAAGATGTACCATTTGTGTGTACAATAAACATACAAATTTAATCTTCCTTTGGGTCATTTACATCATAAAGGTGAAATTGAGTATGGCACTTGAAATTAAAAAAGTTTGTTTATTCAAGAGTATTATCCCTTGACTTATCATTGCCTTGCTTACTTATCTTCTAAACTTTTTCACTTGCAAATAAATAGTTAATTTTCTCTCTTGTAAGCAATATTTATTTTTATAATTGTGTGAAATGATTGCTTTTTACACAATTAAAATTTAGGACTTTTTTTGCTGAGGCCGTTAGATTGAGGCAAGTCAACAAGTGAAATCATGTAAGAAACATTCATTTCACTTGGAGGAAAAAAAAGAAAACTAAAAAAAATAAATAAAATAAAAAATTTATACACTCTTGATGACATGCTTCAACTATCAGTCATTATTTGTTTTATATCAATTTTTCATGGTTATCACAATTAAGCATCTCTTCATATTTATTTCTGCATAAACAATGATTGCACCACCAAAATGTGATGTCACCATGCAAACCTTTTTTTTTTTATGGTGACGTCTTGTTTTTCAAATGTGTAAGAAAAGACGCATTTTATGTAAAGCTCTCATGCCTAAATTCTCTCATTATGATTATTGAAAAATTACCTCCACCAAGTTGTTGCATTTTATATCCTCTTAAATACTCTGGAATTTAATTTAGTTGTTTTGTCTTAATAATTATATTTCAACTTATTTAAAATAATTTTATTAGATTTTTAAATTTTAAAGTTAAAGGATGTTTTTTATTGTATTTTATGCACTCAAATAAATAAAAGGAATGGTATGGAAGTTTGAATGAAACAAAGCAAGTAGTGTAATTTATGCATTTGCTTGTAGCGCTCTTGATTTTTATAATATAAACTTGCCAAAACATCGAAGTAGGATGGCAGGATTTTTGTACTGATTTTCTGAGCAAATAACCCAAGTTGTTGAATTATTGAAGATAATTAATATTTTCACCCATGTCTAAAATGTATTTTTAGCTGGAAGTTTGCTTTCATAGTTAGTCAACAATATTTTTAATAATATTTTGCTTACAACACTTACCACCAACCATATGATTTTCTTCCACATCCCAAATAGCAACGTTACTGTCATCTCTGCCACCTAGTGAGATGACATATCTGCTGTTGAGTGAAAATGTAATTGATTCTGTTCTTACTTTGTGAAATTCATGTCTTGCTATTACCTCATGGGTCTCAAAATTCCACACGAGAAGTATAGACTGGAGGATCAAATTATAGTGAGTCAATACCAAAAGAAACAGGAAATGTAAACAAGTATTTCTCACAACATACTACTAGTACCATTTGTCATAAATCAATTGGTTATCTAACAACATGAAATGAAAGACATGTAAATTTGCTTGTAAAGCAATGTTGAAATAAATATGGACATGAAAAAATAAAAAAATATGGTTATCATAACAATACTAAGGAAAACACTCATGGATTATTACTTTGTTATGATCGCAATGTTTTGAATTTTTCATGATGTCAAAACTTATTTCAACTTTGCTTTATACATTTTAATTCATTATCCTCTCCATATTTAATATGCTAAGAATGGATGATAGTTTTTGACATTTTGTTAGAAATTATCAACACAAAAACCTATTAGTGTGCTTCTACTGGATAGAGAATTACATCTCACTCCTGGATCAAATTTAAGATGAAAACTAGTGATTCTAGTGCTACTTCTACAGTACTAGTACATATATTGCTGTATTATTGGTAACTTTTGGAATTTTTGAAAACTAAGAGAGTTCAACAAAATTGAGACTGCACCATTTTTTAAGGATTTTTTGCTCTATCCAAGGAAACTAGGTATTTAAAGAAAGAAAAATTGGTGTAAATAAAAAAAACTAATTTTTAAATTCAAGCAAAAATCTACTACTACTACGACGTTTTTTTTCTCTCTCAAAAATTGCACATGAGCTTATTAATAATCTGTCTTTGAGGAACATATTTCGTTAAGGAAAAAACGTCTATCAATATTGTGATTTTGAAATGTTAATTATTTTGCAATAAATTTCGAAAATACTGTGAGTTCGTCGAGAATGAGACCTGCGTCATTTTTGTCAGCATACTTTGCAATATAAGAGAAAACATTCCAAGAAAAAAACGTTTAAAAGAAAAAAGAGGTTTAAAACTTGACAATGTTTCACGTAAAATTACGCGAAAACTGCTAATATTTTCAAAAAATTGTCCATGACCTTATATCAAGATACCTTAAATCGACAGATTTTAATAAAATAATTTATATTTTCAATATTGTACTTGTAGGAAGTTGCCGTAAAAATTTTGAACTTTTGTGATTTTCGAAAAATTAGGGATTCGAACGAAAATGAGACCCGCGTCATTTTTCAAGAATGCTTTACGCGAATCACGGACAGTGTTTAATATAAGAAAATGGAAAAAAAATCCAGAAAATTGTAAAAATATTACTAAGGCTCCATGTAAAGTATTCTCCAAAATCAAAATATCCATTCCAAATTCGCAGGTCCTCGAGTTTGCTGAGATCAATTGGGAAATATCAACTTCGGAGAAAATTGAACGGTTTAAGCTAGTTGACCCGTTTGACGAGGAACGGAGATAAGTTTTGTCCTTAATCAATTTTTCGGTATCAAGGACCCACAAATTAAAGAAGTGAATTTGTAATCAGCCAACTCATTCTTGTTCTTGTGTCAATGAAACGCATTCTTGAATGGATGCCTTTGTCACGAGATTAATCGTGTTGTAACCGAATAAATCGGCAACTCCTCTAAAATGAAATTTCATTATGTAGCTCCTTTGATTGTTAAAGACTTCCCGTTCAGATTTCAAATACAGTAACTAAATATCTCGAAAAACTTACGGGATCGAAGAGCTTTGCTCAAGTAATGGATAGTTTTGACATTTGTAACCCTTCCCGTGTCTGTGATCTAGGCCTATGTTATAGGCATTTATACACATTCTATACATGAAATCTTCACAAATAATGTTATCAAACTTTTTATTATTCAATTACGTAAATAAATTGTGTAAATTCGAGTTTATCGCGACGATGATAAATATTTATTTCATGTTAATCTGTAATGAAGAATGATGACTTTAGCTATTGTACAATTAATATAAAAACATTTTCAGAGGAATATATATTGAATTGACAAAAAATTGACGAAAAAACGAGTATCAATTTGCGAAATAAAATTTATGAAGTAGTTGAGGTAGTTAGTCAGAATTCTATCTTTTAAATATAAGAGAGATCCAAAATTAAGATCGACATAATATACGCCGGAAATTGTAATAAAAATATGGTCTGTAAAAGTTCGTGGAATAAATCTTGCGTGGACACATGATGCAAATACGTTAAGAAAAATAACACCGCCCCAACAAATAACTTGCTTTGCTGTGGCAGTTCGATTGATGAAAACCCGGTAATATTACCTTAAAGCCCATATAGTTCACTTGGCCAGCTGCAACATATTTCCCATTGGGAGAAATTGCTAACGCAGATATGGCATCAGTATGTCCTGATAAGAAACTCTGTTGCTTTGATGCCCAATTCTGAATACAAACTTTATTCCCGAGTGGATATAATATGTGAACGTTATCAGGGTGTACTTGCAGGCCATTGGTGACAAATCCTGAAATCAGTCATTACACACACAAAATATATTCAATTAAACATAGATTCACCTTCTGGGCGTCACGCAACAAAATTTTGTTTCATAATTTAACTGGTATTAAAATCAGAAGTCTTACCGTCAAAGCCAATAATAGACGCTAATTCGAGGTTACAATGTGACATTTTTCTCTTCAGAAATAACAAATAAAAAGGTATATCAAATAAATAGTTACACGGAAGTGTTGAAGTCGCTTCCTTGAGAAGCTTCGTAAGCGTTGCCATAGCAACGTTGCTCGATTCGTGATAGGACACCCCTTGTGCTTTGCGAATGCAGTACCCATCGATTACTCAACCAATCTTTCCAGACAAACCCTTGAACTAGTATGGGAATCTTGTTATGAAATTATTTAATGGACAAATATATCACATTAAATGCCTTGGTTTCTATTTTGCCTCACCCTCTTCTTAGCTGCCATCTGTTGCCGCAGTGGGAAATTTTTCACATTTGCTCACATTTTAGGCTCCCTAATTGTAGAACTGAAATATGATTTTAAGAATTTTATAAAAGAGTAAAGCATGTATTAATATACATATGCTTATCGAAAATTGTGCAACCAGTTTTGAGAAAATCTGTTTGAGCGTTTCTGAAAATGCTCAATTTTGAACTCATATTTTCAGAAAACTTTTGAGGTTTTTAGAAAGATAATGAGAAATCATTTGAATCACTTGTAATGACAAGTGCAGTAATGAATAAAAACGCCGGTAATGTAAATATTAACGACGTGAGAGATATAAAAAAAGTACATTTGTGTCATTTAAAAAAATCAAAATATTACATAAAAATTGCGTTTATGATGTGTTTCGATGCAAACCGAACTTAACTACAATGCGTTTCAAGAAAATAGAGTCGTTTTGAGAAAATCTCGTTTGAGTGCTTCTGGAAATTGGCATTTTTGAGTTCTTTTTCACAGAAAGAACTTCGAGTTTTCGAGAACCTTCCTCAAAAGTCATTTGAAGCATTATTACTCGCTAAGGCAATAATGTATAAAAAGAGCTCGTAATGTAATATTAATGACGTGAGAGACGTGTAAGAACTTATATTTGTGTATTTTAAAAAAATATAAAAATTAGGCCTGTATCAAAATGGCGCTTATGTTATGTTATTCAGTGCATTTAGACTTTGTACTTTACGTAAAAAAAGTGTTTAAAGAAAAATTTGTGCCATTTTTTGAAAAAAATCTAGTGTTTAATAATACCCATATTTCACTCAAAATTGTGAAAAACCTCTAACATTTTCAAAAATATGTACATGACATTACTTAAAGAACTAAGTTTAGTTGACAAATTTCATTTGAAAAAAAATGTCTATCCTAATAATGTATATGGCGTTTTTGAAAATCCAGGGCTAACGGTAAAAATTCAATTTATGGATCTTTATAAGTATATATCACTCTATTCTTACAAGACATTTTCTTTTTTTCTTGGGCCTTTATTCAGCCGACAGCCGGTCCCTTTACGTCCCGGTGGAACGTACAATCTGCCACACACTAGACAAGATACGAGACTCGCGCAACTTTTCTTGAACGATGACTTTGCTTCCCTCTCTCTGACACAATTAATAGTCAAAGAATTAAGTAAGACAAAAGCTCGAAGCGTACACTGATGACAACACTCAAAACACATCTTCACTGGTGGTTTCCGTTGAAGACGAGAACTTCTGTCCGTGATTTCCTCCAAACAATCTAAAGAAATGACTGAAAGAGGTGAAGATCCATCACAGGAGATACCTCGAACTCCTGAGAAAGTTAGAACGCAAATTATTGAGAAAGTTGCGAAGGCATAACTGATTCTCCAGAGATGAGCATTGCTTCGTAAAATCTAGTGGCTGATTACATAATTAATACCCCCCACTCTACCCGCATTTCTTCAATCCATCGTTTAAGAAAAGTTGCGCGAGTGATACCCGCGGACTCCTCTCATCCGCAGTCGCGAAGCAGAACGCGAAGCCCTCCGCGTCAACGCGTTCATGCGAGACAAGGGACAAACAACCACGCTCAAGGCGGGACTCGAACCCGCGACCCTTCGCACCGAAGCGCTGAATCGGTACAAGCGCGTGTTGGAAAAGAAATCCTAGGAAACGGTTCAGGCGCTGTTCACTGATGGATAGGCGAACGGACAGACATTCTCAAAGGGGAAAAGTTGAAGGAAAAAAGGAGAAAAAACACACAACTAGCTTCGTAGATACAAAGAAACCGCGAACATTGCATTTTAGAGGATATTGAAAAGACACAATTTTTTGTATTTTTGTCCGGGAGAGGTCGCTCAGGGCATCAACTAAAATGTGCCTCTGGCCGGGAGGTCCTAAGTTCGAGTCCCGACGGTGGCAGGATTTTCGACACTAGCTTATCAGCTAGGTCGAATTCAATCGCTGTCTGGAGAAGAATTCTGGTGACCGGCTGCTCTGATCGGTAGTTTTCCGTGGTTTCTCCGATCAACAACAGGTGAAGGCTGGAGCAGTACCCTAACAAACGGGCCACGGACCTCACGTGATTTTTTATTCCTTACTTACACACACACACACACTAACATGCACTACACTACCACACATGCCAGGAGGGTCCAGTTAAAAGCGTCTTCTGGTAGGAGATACCTGGTCGGGGAAAATCCCGCTAGTCGGCGGCGGATCCCCCCTCCCCGAGGAAAAACATGCACCACACTTACGGGACTAATCACCTTATCCGTTGGCGCGCCCGGAAGCACTAATAATCAATCAATTAAATAATTTAAAATTTCGTTTTCCCATCGCCGCATCTATCGATCACTGGACGCATCGCCTCTGCTGAAGGTGTATGGAATGCCGTTTTGATTGTCGGATTTGCGTTGCTTATTAGCTTCATTAGTTTCCGAAACTAATGATCTACAGCTGGTAATGACTTTTACAAATAATGGCGGAGATGTGTTAATAAGGCAGAAATTACTGTATTATATTACGCCACCGTTACTAATGCGAGAAAGTTCGTGCTGTTGTAGCACTAGTTTGAATTTGTTATTATTGTTCATGATTTGTTTTATACAAATAAGGAAAATTTCGTACAGCCGTTTTTTCGCATTCATTTTCATTAAAAGGAGAGAATACACAATGAGATTAAACTAACCGGAAGCGTACCTTTCACTGCCCAATAATCACCCTCAGTTTTGTCGCTTTGGGTGTTTACTAATGCGTATTTGAATTTCAAAAAACTAAAGAGAATAAATGTTATCGACAAACTTCGCAAATAAGCTCTTAAATTTTAAGCATATTTTGTCCGATTAACTACGTGGATATTCCGAATGGTTGAGCCGCAATATGCACTGAAAAGTTGGTTTGAAAAAATGCTTTCTAGGCAAACATTTGCATTGCAGAAGCATATGCATGTAGAAACCAGACCTCCAGAAACATGTAAATTGTTTATTATTTACAATTTTTTTCAGAAAGAAAACTTAAGCGAGATATAAAAAAAGCAGTCGCATTGAGTAAATTGGGTGCTTTTTTATTTCTGTGCTACTGTGAAATACGCCTCGGATGTCTGGGAGACTTTCTCATTGACTTGTATCATCTTGTGCGGGTTATGCAAGTAAGCGTCCTTTTTTGAGTTTGCGTTCATTGAATTTTGTGAGTTTGTACAGCTTATTAAGCTACATCCACACTGTATTGACCACTTTGAGACTCTCTGCGACCTAATATTTGTCTCAAATGAAGTTGAAGTTATCCACAACAGACTTGATGATGCGTCTCATATTAGTGATCTCTCATTGATATATTGTGAAATACTGCATAATTTGCGAAATAATACTGCAATATTATGAAATACAATCATAATTTTCTTTGATGTGTTTGCACCAATGAAAATGGTAAATTTAAATTTTAGAAAGTCATCCTGGTGAACTGAATCTGCGAAGTTTCTCATCAAACGCAGTTGTCAATTACAGAAATTGAAAACACCTACCTTAAAGACTAATTTTACACATTAAAAATTATGTACTTCTTCTCTTCTGAATTATGAACGTAAACCATACTTTAATTCCAAGCAAAATGAAACCAACGATTCTAGGTCGCTGTGGTCGAATTTGCATTCTCTTGGTGTTGTCTCACTCGGATCCTGATGTGGCTCTGATGGATTTGACGTGGATCGTAGGAGTCGTTGTTTTGTCGGCGACATGCCGAAGCTTGATCCATTAGACAACAACCTAACGTTCTTTAGGATACTCATACGGCTTCAGGTGTCGATCGTTTTAGTTTTCAATCTCTTACTCCTTATACCTGAATTATGAAGGAAATAAAGCTTACTGCAGCCGGAGTTGATATGGGGGGAGGGGTAGATGTGTATTCTCAATTGCTTTACTGCACTGAGACGTTTGGTAAATTCGTCAATCCTGACAAGAGAATTCCCTGCAAATTAGGACACAAGCGCCCTATTGCTAAAGTAACTAATTCGACTTCTGTTAAATAATTTCGCCCAGTCTCAATTCATCCATTTCTCTTAAAAATATGGTAGAAGACTATACATCTTCAACTAATTGTTATATAGTTGTCTGAGAGTAATGATATATTATGGAGGTATAAGGGGTTGTATCTAAAAATTACCCTTAGAGTTAATATTACTACTCTAAATAGAACTTTAAGGACGAAATAGTGTTGGTCCAAGGGGGACTCCAGTTATATTCGGCAAAATACCAGAATATCTTTCCTGGTTCAAATAATCTCGCTGGAAATGTCCTGATAGGTAGTTAGCAATCCAAGACACAGAAAGCTCATAATACTACATTTAATAAATTCATTTTAAAAATGCTTAACGAGTGATTGATTAATGATCCCTGTGGCGTCAACTGCTAAGGCCGATAGTCCCATAAGTGTAGTGCACGTTTTTCTCGCGAGAGGAGGCGGTGATCCTCCGCTGGA